GAAAAAAAAGATAGCGGGAAGATAATTAATATGATGTTCCAAAATTCGTTCATAATCGCAGTTTATATTAAGGGATCAGATAAGGTGCTCAGTGTTCACTTTTCGGAGAAAGATCCATACTTCCAAATAAAAGAAAACAAAACACACACACACACAAGAACAATCAATTAGATATATGTATATGAACCAATATCTTTTATTGGCGGAGAATTCACAAACATTCAGTCTGACATTATTCAATTTAATTTGGGGCAGCTTTTCGTTAGGTCATTATCATAGGCAACAGCCCTCAATCAATAGCCTGATACATGAATGTTATAAAGATTTTTTTAAAATATCATAAATAATTGAAGAAGAACGAATCTAAGTTTGAGTGTTATTACTTTGCTATTAATATGAATGGAATTCTATAGTTTCTATCTTCTGCCATCTCTACATAGTTGTGCTCTTATGGTGTGACACATATAATTTATGAACACGACTAATTTCTTCATATACTATTATTTTATTTTATTAGTTTCGTATACATAGTTTATACTTTATAGTGAGCTTCTGTCAGACTGAACCTGGTAAAAAATATTTCACTTTTATTTCATTCACAATTTCGGCTTGCGTTTAGCTTGATATTAGAAAATTCTGAACGCTTGATTTGGTTGAGTATGTTGGAGAATGCTGGAATGATATTTTGAACATCATTGGCCTAATTTTAAACTTCTCACGAATGACAACAATTTAAGACATGCAATCACTATAGATAATATAGGTTTTTAACGGTTTTGCACATGTTGGTCGTGCTTATTCAGTTATTCTTAAGTGATTTTTTTGCATTTTCGATAATATATAGATTCAAAAATAAATTTACAAAGAAATTATAAACCGGCCCATAATCTCGATCTAGAATCAGCTGTTTGGTCATATCTGTTAAAATATAAATATTTTGTTTTTTCAAGTGGAGATTCAAAATAAAATTATTATTTTTCAAATGAAGTTGAATAGTGTTTGTTTATATTTCTCATGACCTTGACTTTAAATTTGATAATCAAAAAATATTTTCTATATACAGAATTGGAAACTATCGAAAAATTTACGATTTTTTTTTACTGTCATAAGTTCATTTAATTTATACTAGTATATTAGAGCTTTGAGTATTACATACAAACGATTTTGAATAGAAACAGTACGGAAGCGGATAAAATAGTGTTAATTTTCTACGAATTATATTATTATTATATAGTTTTACATCCATTACAAACAAAGGAATTTGAAATATAAATCGTATGATCATCGAGTGTTTGTTTGTAAGAAACTATTTTTTTTTTTTGAAACTCTAAGAAACTATTTATACAAAGCAATATTCATAGAATCAGAGTAGTGGGAAGCCTCCACATAGAAGGAACCAATAAACATTCAAAAAGTATTAATTGGCTGAAAAGTTGCAAAACATTCATTCTGACAACATTCAACTTCATATGATCAGCTTTTCGTTAAAATGGTCATCACCCACACAGTCCTCAATCAATTGGGTCTATTACCAATTTATAAGTCCGAAAATAAAAATAAATGAAACGAGTTTCTTCGAAAAATCCAAAAAAAAGGTTGATTGAAATTGAAGTGTTTTAGTTCTTCGAGGAATGGAGAAATAAAATGGACGAAATTATGGGAAGAAATCAAAACAATAATTGGAGCGTCACTTCAGGGCGGCTTTATGATTTCTGTATCTGTCCTGCCAACTTCCCCAGTTTCTCCGCCTTCTACTTTGTGACACAGAATTTAACAACACACACCTTTTCATGCACATATATTTCTTTACGGAGACTCGATGATAAGTTGGTGACCATTATTTATTCGTAATTTTTTTTTTAAGTTATACTAATTCATACCAAAAGATAGTTGTAAAAAATAGTCCATTTGTTTCAAAATATAAGATGTTTTGGCTAAAAACACGAAATT